TCTTTTCTTTCTCCATCTCTCTCTCTTTTCCTTTTCCATCTCTCTCTCTCTTTTCCTTTTCCATCTCTCTCTCTTCTTTCCTTCTCCATCCCTCTCTCTCTTTCCCTTTCTCCATCTCTCTCTCTCTTTCCTTTCTCCATCTCTCTCTCTCTCTTTTTTCTCCTCTCTCTCTCTCTTTTTCCTTTCTCCATCTCTCTCTCTCTTTTCCTTTCTCTATCTCTCTCTTCTCTTTTCCTTTCTCCATCTCTTCTCTTTTCCTTTCTCCACCTCTCTCTTTTTCCTTTCTCCATCTCCTCTCTCTTTTCCTTTCTCCATCTCTCTCTCTCTCTCTTTTCCTTTCTCCATTCTCTCTCTCTTTTCCTTTCTCCATCTCTCTCTCTCTTTTCCTCTCTCTTCTCTCTCTCTCTCTCTCTCTCTTCTCTCTCTCTCTCTCTCTCTTCTCTCTCTCTCTCTCTCTCTCTTCTCTCTCCTCTCTCTCTCTCTCTCTCTCTCTCGCTCTCTCTCTCTCTCTCTTTTTCCTTTCTCCATCTCTCTCTTCTCTCTTCTCTCTTTTCCTTTCTCCATCTCTATCTCTCTCTCTTTCCTTTCTCCATCTCTATCTCTCTCTCTTTTCCTTTCTCCATCTCTCTCTCTCTCATTTTCCTTTCTCCATCTCTCTCTCTCTCTCTCTTTTTCCTTTCTCCATCTCTCTCTCTTCTCTTTTCCTTTCACCATCTCTCTCTCTCTCTGTCTCTCTCTTTTCTTTTCCTTTCTCTCTCTCTTCTGTCTCTCTCTCTTTTCCTTTCTCTCTCTCTCTCTCTCTCTCTCTCTCTCTCTCTCTCTCTCTCTCTTCTCTCTCCTCTCTCTCTTTCTCTCTCTCTCTTCTCTCTCTCTCTCTCTTTCTCTCCCTCTCTCCATCTCTCTCTCTCTCTCTCTCTCATCTCTCTCTCTCTCTCTCTCTCTCTCTCTCTCCTTCTCTCTCTCTCTCTCTCTCTCTCTCTCTCTCCTCTCTCTCTTTCTCCCCCTCTCCCCCTCTCTCTCTCTCTTTTCCTAACACACTTTCCTCTCGCAGGCGACGGCTTCATCACCACCAGCGTCCTGCGTGAGATCCTCAAGGAACTGGACAAACAAGCTCACTGAAGATGATCTGGACGCAGGGATCATCACGACAATTGACGAGGATGGCTCCGGGACCGTCGACTTCGATGGTACGAGTCTGTGGGCGAAAACTGCGTGTGTGGGGGGGGGGGGGGGTGAGTGAGTGAGTGAGTGAGTAGTGAGTGAGTGAGTGAGATGTGAGTGAGAGTGAGAGTGAGAAGTAGAGTATAGTTGTGAGTGTGAGAGTGAGAGTAGGAGTGAGTGTGAGAGTGAGTGTAGGAGTGAGTGTGAGAGTGAGAGTAGGAGTGAGTTGAGTGAGTGTGAGAGTGAGTGAGTGTGAGTGAGAGTAGGAGTGAGAGTGATGTGTTGAGTGTGTTTTATAACGGCGAAATCTCTCTTGATAATTAATTATCCATATAACGTAGGTCATTAGCATAAATCTTAGTATTCCTTCAGTAAAAATAATAATTTCTTTCTTTCTTTCCCGTTGCAGAGTTCATGGAGATGATGACCGGGGAATAAAACCTGACCTTATCTGACCTGACCACATCCTCTCTCGTCTTATCTTGCATGACCTCACCGCCTCTGATGCCAACAATCAGCACCAAATGTCATATCTTCTAGTTGATTTTCAAAGCAATAATTTTATAACGAAAACAAAAAACTGTGTTTATTCTCCTTTTTTATAACGAAAACAAAAACTGTTTAATCTCCTTTTTATAATATAAATGTGTTATCATGTACCCATTTCACACAAAAGGGAAATTCCTGTTCAGTTGTCTTAAAAAATAATAATCTACACACCACTTAGTAATACTGGTTTTCCTGCAATATATAAAGACAGGTTCATATTCTATTGAAGATCAAGTTTTCAATTAAAGACAGCAATATTTAGTAGAATACATGAACAAAATCCCAAAAGTTTGGATGTACATTTGTCTAATTTACAATGTGTTTTAGTTAATCACACACTGACAACTCAAGATAATGTCCAACTGACGAATAAAAAGTTCAATGACAAAGCAAAAATATCTCAGGTAGTGAATCATGTTTGTCAGGCACATCATTCATCACACATTACACAATTTTCATTACTAAGTAATTTGCAATTTTCTGGATTATCAATGCATATTCTGGATATAATGCATATTCTGGTTACCATACTTTGGAAACGAGATTCATTTTCAAACTAGACCTTTTTTTAGCTCTATCTATTCAACACCTCATTGGTGATGCCAGTACGTTGGTTAAGAGAATATGACAGGCAGATTTTTTCTTTCTTCATACGTGTTGAACACGTATATTCCTTGGATATGTGCAAGCCGCTTTTGAAAATGTTTGTAATATCTCCTTAAATATGCAACATTTGCTAAAAGAAAATACAAATGTTTACATTCATATCCCCCTTATTTTTCACATTTCCTTCCCTCTTATAAATAGAAAAATAAAATATTCTCTCTGTCAGTCTCTCAAAGCACAAGTGTCCCAAGACAAACATTAGACCAGCATTTCAGTGTCAACTGAAACCCTTATAATTTGATTGAAACGCTATGTTCATCTCGGCCAGATCTTTCAATGTATAAAGATAATTAGAGAATAAGCCAAATATTGCAAGGACAATCGTACAGATGGCTGATCACTTTACCATTTGCTTTATGAATGCTGACATTGCAAGGAAACGTTAACATGCACAGGGACAGAGTTACTAGTCTTGTATCAAATATCTGAAATGCTTGAGTCGTGTACCCCTATGCCTGTGTGTGTACAGTATGTAGATACTAGCATAATCAAAGGGTTACTAAAAATGGAAGCTGTGACAGGAGGCTGATCTTAATTAGGATTAAGAAAAGCAAACTGATCTCACTTTGTTCCTTTTTTATTACAAAAAAAGGAATGATCACCTGAAACACTACATCCAATTGAAACTTGACGAGCCTCATTTACGAGCAGATTGCCTTTTTGTAATGTTAATTCTTACTCCTCCACTTCCAAGAATGTCCACAAAAGTTACCAATATAAGACCTTGTTCCTGGAATGCTTCATTATACTCAGTATTCTCTTAGATAAACCATATTGCTATTACCAACCCATAAGTCAATACACCAACTAGAGTGTTTTAAGTCACATCTACAAGACAGGTACAGTGAAACAGGGTATTAATAAAGGTCAACATATGTTTCAGTAAGTTTAAATGTCCTAAAGTAAGCTTACATGTACTATTAACATTATCATCATCCACACCTTCACATCAACCTCTTACACATCAAACACTCAGATGAAATATCATGACAACATTTTGAATGAGTAAAACTCGAAGTTGATAAATCATATCAACCCAAATATCATTCAGATGTATTTCAACCAGGAAAATTGACAAAATAATTGGTCAAATATTTTCTCAAATTACATTCCTGTCAAAACGAAGTCCATGCCAAAGGACTTGAATTCTGATTGCGGCAGGGGTGCATCTCAGCATACAATAAAAAATATATCTCTGATAATAACGAACTAAATACTAAAGGCTAATATCTAGGTCTATTCCCCTGCCGGTATATTTTTGTTTTGAAGTCTTTCCGCTGGTGGATTCCTCCATAGCCTCCACCACCACCACGCTTGTGGGGTAGTTTTCCTGATGCTATATTTAGGTCGATGAGGGGCGGCACAATAAAACCAAAGCACTTGGCCACCTGCAAGAGAGCAAAATTTTTATAGAGAGCTATGACAAAAAACAAAATTTTCAGATTTGGGATAAAATAAAAGAAAAAAATGGGAAAGAAATGTATGATTCATGTGGACTAATAGAGTGAAAGCAGAGATAACCATTTACCTTTTTCAAGTCGAGTGTGTTGATGTCAAAGATGTGCTTCTGTTGATGTGAATGATATGCTCTCAAGTATCCTCTGTAAGCTTCCTTCGCACTTTGGTGGAGGAAGTGGTTCTGGCCAATCAGCTTCTCCAACTACAGGAACAAATTACAACATAAATAATTTTCTTTACTCATTATGAAGAAAAAATACAAAAAACACTGAACAGAATATTGAAATATGAAGTGAAAGATATGCATATGAATATATGAATGTGTGCTTATATATATATCTAATTTACATACACATACACATACATATACAGTTATAATGAGTCTAGATTTGTTTATACATACAGAAAAGACAATACTGTAAAATAGCAAACAATAATAATCTTTCCTAAATGGGACAGGGAAAAGTAACACACACTATACAATGTTATACACAAACAAAGACACCCCACCTGCATCTGAATGTTTGCTACTTTGGTCCATGAAATGTCCATGCAGTCCACATTGACCTTGTGAGATTTGAGGTAACTGATGAACAAGTATTCTTCTTCGCGGATGAACAGGAGTGCACGACCTCTACCTCCAGCACGGGCTGTTCTTCCAACACGGTGGATGTATTCCCTGGGGAGAAAAAAAAAAGAAGGCTTGGTGTTAAATAAATAACAACATAAAGGGCAAGTGATCTACTTTCCTGATGTTAGGGTCAAACTAAGTTTAATGAGAGCTTCTTAATATTAATGACAATAGTGCCTAATAAAATCCATAATACGTCTTTCTACTCAATGATATTCACTGTTTACTTGAAACACTGAGTCTATAAACCAATTTTGCCAAAATATGAGAGAACCAATCCTAAAACATTCTATAACCCAGTCTTGCCAAAATATGAGAGAACTAATCTTAAACAGTTAGTCTATAACCCAGTCTTGCCAAAATATGAGATAACTAACCCTAAAATCAACATTCTAAATTATCTACAAATAATACATACACAACTCTCAACCTAATAATACAACCACTGCAACAAGGATTTCTCTGAGAAGAGGTACAACCACACACTCACTTGGGATCATCTGGGGGGTCATACTGCACAATCCAGTCAACTGCTGGAATGTCCCAACCTCTGGCTGCTACGTCTGTGCACAACAAGACACCTGAATCTGCGTTTGTGAACTGGTAAAAGGTGTTTGTTCGTTTCACTTGCTTTTGTTTTCCCTATAAGAGGCAGAAAAAATTGAAAAACATTAGAAGCATATCAGATTTTAAAATAATAATAAATAAATAATAAAACTAAGCAAAAATAACTAAACAGCATGTTTCCTTTAAAGCATTTACAAAATTAATTAGGTTAATGCTACTCCCACCTTAAAGGGCCATTAAAATCATCTAAAATAAACTCTTCCAATTAAGAAATCTTCCAAAACAAAGAACTTTACATTCTAGGATTACTGTAGCTTGTATCATTGCATGTAGACAGACAACATCGGGAAGGACAATAACAATAAAATCACTCTTTACCCAAACTTACATGGATGCACATGACAGGGACATCTATGTAGTTCAGGAGCTCATGGTAGTATTTGACAGTCATGCACGAATTGAAGAAGATCATGACTTTTTTCTTTAGATTCTTCTTAATGAAAGTGTAGAGAACAAGGAATCTCTTGTCAGCTGGACACACCAGATACGCTGCAAGAAAAGTTTTCATAAGTATTCTCATCTAGCACACCATGAAAGTATATAAATACATGATCATCTAAAATTAATAAGAAAGCATGGGGAAAGCAGACATTGCTTACCAAATAAAAGTGTCTATAAACATATAAGAGAGACTACTGTTTCAGTCCCAATTTCAAAGCTGACATACATCAACTTGACTGAAAATTACAAGATCAGGGACTTTTGTGTTTCTGAACCATTCATACACCCTAGTGTTTTTTGATAATCAAGAATTCTCTTCATTCTCTTACAGCAAGTGGCTTACATTTCATGTATGCACCCATACTCATAAAAAAACAAATTCTTTAAAATCAGACTGACATATCTCTTTTCAAGAATATGAGGAATATCCCTCATCCCAAAGAACTGCGGTCTTAAGAAAAGGTTTCACTTAATCTCATCTATCACTCTCAATACCCTAAAAAAATGGGGAATTACGAATTACCTTGTTCTAGGCCCTCTACCGTTGCATTAATTTTGTCTGAGTCTACATCTACTTCCATGGGATCTGTCTTCAGGGCAAGTCTGGCTAGCTCATCTGTCTTCGTGTCTTTTGTTGCACTAAACAGCATCGTCTGTCTCCGCTCTGTATTAAAGAGAAATTACAACTATATATTACTCTCACAATAATACTACAAATTTACTTGTATCTTCCTGTGTAACAAAATACAAAAAAGAATATACATCAAATATCATAACATTCAAAATCAAATTTTTAAGAAATGGGTACTGACTTGGTAGAATATTCAAGATCTGTTTCATCTCTTGCTCAAATCCAACATCGAAAATCCGGTCAGCTTCATCAATGATAAGACACACCATGTTCTTGTACATGAAGTCTGGAGTGTTAGTGAGGTGATCCAGGAGCCTTCCAGGTGTCGCAACCAAGATATTCACACCTACAAAAAGGGAAAAATATGAAGTTTATCAAATCAAAATGCTTAGATAATACAGTATACATTTACAATGAATGCATTTTAAAAATAAGGCTTTGAAACTATTCCATCCAATATTCTCCTCCATTCTGATAACAATCATGACAAATTAACAGGAAATGTGTTCATATGTGGAAGGCACTATAGGTTTATATGGCAATGAATATATTCTTGACAAATTAAAATTTCACTTTCAAAATGAAGTAACAGTATGAATTGCCTTTAACAATATTGTTTCCTATTTCAACCTCAAAATACAAACTCTGGCAAATAAAGCCATTTGTCCTAAATAAAATTAAAAAATCAAGTGACAAGCATTAATGTTCTAACACTGAACCCTTTATATATATATATATATATATATATAATATATATATATATTATATATATATATATATATATATATATGTATATATATATACGTATATAATAGACACTACTTTACCACTCAAGTGAAACAGCAGTATCAAAATAACCTTCATTCAATATTCAAGTTACAAAAGCATGGTTTTCAGTAAGCAGTAAAATGAAAAATAAACACAGAAGGAACAAAATTCTCACCTTTACGCAACTTTGCACCTTCACTCTTGCGGTCTGCACCTCCCATGATCAGGCCAAATGTTTGTGAATGGTCCTGCATGAGTTCTCTCAGGACACCGTATGTTTGCATGGACAATTCACGAGTTGGAGAGATGATGATCACTCCGGTACCTTAAAGAATATTCAGGTTTGTTAGTTTCCTATTTCTTTATAGATTGGTAACATGTGAATATAGCACCTGGATCAAAATTCCTTTTTCTAATACTTTAATTTAAAGGTAACTCATAGACACATGATATCTATAGTTTTTCAAAACATATAATCCAGTGTCTGAATCTTTAAATGCATTATGACTCATGAGCAAAAGAGACATAACTCAACTTTCTTTTTA